TCAACCCAACTGGGGTTTGAATGATCCATCTACAAAGAAAATTGTACAAAGAAAATCATATCTTGCTAATTGTTCAGCTAACCCTCTGCGGGATGCTGGAACTGTTGAACCTCCGGTGGAATGGCGAAGGGAATCTGATGACTCCAGACTTAATCTCATTCCGTACTGGGAGTGTGGCGCGAGCAGCGAAGCTATGACAAATGCTCGGCTGCTCCCCAAGTCTCCCAGGTACCCGGCTTGGTATTCGAGCGAATTTTGCCAAAGCTGGCATGCTTCAAGAAGTACCGTGCCGAGCTACATGTGTGGGTGACCGTAAACGCCTCTCTGCCCCGACTCCTGGCGTCATATGCTGGATACACTGGCATCCAGCACATGCATTCGCCACGGGGCGGCGTGGTCCGCGCGGTGTCCCTGGCCAGGCCTCAAGGCCTGTACTCTATATGATCCCATCCCTCGTCCGGTTGGACCTTTTCAACCGCTGGTGGAGGTGAATGGAACATGGGCGACAGGGATGTTCTCCTGTGTGGGGATTCCGCTGGCCTTGGAGGCCATCTGGCCCATGGTGTTGAGTCGCTTCTGGATCTCTCCGATCTGGTTAAGGTTGTTGGCATCCTCAGGCTTCTCCAGGGTTCGAAGGAGGTCCTCGACGGCCTTTCGCTGCTCGAGCCACTCCTCAATCAGTGGCTTGGTGGCAGGGGCCTTTTCCTTGGGGGGGATGCTCTTCTGGGAGGCCTTGCGGCTGGGAACTCCCTGGGGCTCAGAGCTGTCGGTCTTTCTCTTGCGGCCCTTGGTGGATTGTGGTGCAGCAGTGGAAGGGGGGGATCCACCAGCACTGCCGTGGTCGTTGTGCACACGCTTCATATGGTCCTTGAGGTTCCACTGGCGGGGGAAGCCGTTTCCAGGAACACCACGCTCACATCCTTCATACTGGCACAGGAAAGGCTTATCACCATGGCCATGGAGACCATGAGCCTCACGCTCGTGGCGGAGCAAGCAAGCGGTGGAAGAGAACCGGGCACCCTCGCAGGCCTCGGCCTTGCAGCGGTAAGGCTTCAGGTGGGAGTCCACGAATTTGCTGGTTCAGTTAGCGAGGCTCGATTAGTCGAGAGGAGGAGGAAATTGGATGGGTAGACATACTCATAGTTGCACTTGAGCTTCTCAGGGCGGTGGTTGCAGCAAGTCTCACCCTCCCAGGGGCAGTGGTAGAGACCATCCTCCTTGGGGGTGGCATTCTTGTACAATTCATGGTTCCGGGCAGTCTCGCCATCCCGGCGGGGTCCAAAAGCGGCGGGCAGGCCGAGGTTCTCACCAAGAGAGGGAATGGTAGCTACCAGATCCTCAGGCATCTCATGCTTGATGTCAATGCTGTTGGAAGTTAGTCATCGGTTGGGAAAATAATTACAGAACAGACCGAACATATCACAACATACCTTGGGGACTGGCAAGGAAGCTCAGGTGATGAGTGAGGGCTCAGAGGACGGTGAGCTGACTGCAGCCAAGCTTCATCAATAGTGGCAGGTGAAGATGTCCTTGAGATGGAGCTGGAAAAGCTGTTCCAAGATCCGGGGGAAGAGTTATCAGGAAGACTGGCGTCAGGGCCAAACTGCATCTGGGAAGGAACAACATGCATGGTGGGACTGGTGCTAAGGGAGAACTGTGAATCCAGACCAGTGGTCAGGTCATAGGTGGGCCAGTATGCTGAAGGGGGAATGAGGCTGGCATCTGCGTCCAAGAACAGGCAGGATGTGTCGACTCCAACCAGGGGCCCAGGGAGTTGGGATCCGTTCCTGAAAGTGGAAACGTTACCTCTGACATCCAAGCTGGACAATCTTGACGAATGTGACAGCGAGGATCCGTTTGACATATTTGAAGTGATCCGGGACATGGCATGTCCTCCAGGGATCACGGGAGTAAGGCCAGAGGCCCATGCGTTCTCATTGGCATGAGAGCGCTCCAGTCTGGTTCCTCGGGGCGTGGTCTGGCCTGATGTGACAATGTACTCCTCGGCTTCTCCTGAATGGCAAGACTCAGAGTCTGGTAGATCTTGGAAGTTCTGTACGCCTTCTGATGTGCCCCACGTTGACCCGGGCAGAAGGTCTGCTGAGGGTTCTGTTTGGAAAGAATACAGCCCTGATTGGGGCATCATGTTCTGTGTGTAGCTGTAATCGCTGTGTTGGGTTAGTGTACTGTTCTCCACTGTTCATATGATATTGTGACAAGACAAAAGAACAAGGCGTGTATCAACTTTGATCTGGACTTCTGGTTAGTCTTCCTGCATCTACTGGGAGGGGTTGAGGAATCTATCACAAACCAGCCATATGAAATGCAAGAGTTGCAAAGCAAAAACTCAAGCAAAACAAAACAAAACAAGATAAAACAAAAGTCCGGAATATCCATGGCATCTACTTCCACTTGGGCAGTGACTGGGTGTTGTTGGTCCTAATGGGATGGTAATTGGTGTGGCTCCATTGTTGACAAATTAATCAACATGTGAAGGTTGGCGAGAGAATCCGGCAAAGGCTCCAGCGGTATGGCAAAAAGAGTTGTTGTTGTGATCCATGGCATTGGAAGCTGTCGAGGCATACAAGGTGAAGCTCTATAAGGTAGATATCCAGTGCTATCTAGGGCCAGATGATGATGCAGTTCCTTGGATTGTCGAGTTCAGGCAGTGGCGGAAGCGGTCAATGGCAACAGGTGTGTGGCGTTCTCCATATGGTCAAGGCTCATGTCGATGATCAGTCCAGCGTCGTGCTACGTTTCCTCAATCCGGTTCCAATGTTGTTGGTATTGTTGGTCAAGTGGCAGTGGTAGTCGATAGATGTCTAAGACATGTCGCAAGTGGAGGATCCAAAACCATGTCCTTGGGTCGTATATAGTCTGGCAGCGGTTCATCTCAGGGGCTCCTCGTTCCATGTAGAAAATCCAGTTCAAATGGGATCCATTGGCATCTGGGGTTGTTCCTGATTCAAATCCTTGGATGTATTGAGGTCCTATGAGATTCTAAAGACTGTTTCTTTTTTTTTTGAAATCTGTAGTTTGGGCGATACCTACCACGGGTTGACATGCCCGCTTCTTGTGTGTGCAATGATTACTTTTGTATTGCACATGTCCGGCTCGGACATGCTCCAAAGATCCAAGGGAATGAGAGAGAACGAACGGTCCGAGAATATGCAGGTCCATGGTCCAGTAGAGAGAATGAAGTCCATGGGGAGAGCAGAATCTGAGGTCCAGGTGTCCATGGGAAGTAATTGTCGAGAGGATGTCTTTGAAAATGCAGAAACAGAACATGAAAGCAAGGAAAACAGTACCTAGAGAGCGAGTGAACCTCGTCGATTTCTGTTGGCTTGGCACTTGGCATATTGGCCGATTGAGACATAACAAGAGCAACTGTCATTATATCCAGGGTAGAGCGGCAATGCTCTATGATCCGGTAGATCAACTAGGCTTGAGCAAATTAACTGCAAGCACCAGTATCAAAGTGGTGTCGATGATGGAACAAGAAGCAAAGGGGGGATGATCCTTGTGGCTCCTCTTGGCTGCGCTGGTGGGAAGGCGGAAGAAGTTTTGTGTTCAGGAGGGCAAAAACAAGTCTTTGTGTGTTCAAGGAGGAGGCTTGGGTAGAAGAGTTGGGCAGGAACGTTGGGCAATGAATAAGGAGGAAAGAGGATCAAGTTGGGCAACGACGGGGCAGGCGGGTTTTATCCTACACCTTCCCCTCGAGCCAGGAGCAGAGGAGCCCATTTTTCGCGCAAAACCCGTGCTGAGAGTGACGGCATTTCGGCCTCCTGGTTGTGTGATAGCCAGGGGCCCCCAGACGCAGCAATGCGCTGGCGTTTGGTGCATGTAACTGCAGGGGCTTGATAGGGTGGGATGGGCAGGGATATCTCAGTGTGAGATTGCGACTGGCCCGTGGAGGTGGTCTTGCAGATGGCCGAGTGGAGATGGGTGCAGGCCGCCTGCCCTATGGCGACGAGCTGTCGGTCAACGAGGGGCATCTGGCGCCTTGACAACAAAGCAATGCATGCTTGGCGCGAGTCGCTGCAGCAGGCGACCCAGGTCGACATGATATTGCGACGGTTTTGCCCAGCCTCCGGGCCAGTTTCGCGCCGGCCGGCGTCGCGATGGACGTCTGCTGGCCAATCCTCCCGTCCAGCGCATCACGATGGCAGACCGAAGCCTGCTGCAAGCTGCTCGTTCAGGAACGTTATCTTCCCACCGGTCGCAGGAGGCCCTCGGCGCTGCGGCCACTCGGCCTCTTCGCTGGCATGCATCACAAGCTATTAGCTGTGTGGTGGCTGCTTCAACCTGTGCCCCATCCTCACAAGTGCTCACCGACTCGACGGTCGAGGCCATCCCCTCCTCCTCACATAGCCTCTGATTGCACCAAACCTGGGCGGAGGACTGGGCAGGCGGTTTGCGCGGATACCAAACTGCAGCTCTTGTCGAATCAACCTGTTGTTCTCTCTCTCCTCATGCACTGTGACAGTCCAGCGTGCCAGCCAAGTAAGATAGCTCTCTGCCAATGCGGGTGAGGTGTGGGCGGAGACCGTAGCCAGGAAAAAAGAACAACTTGGAAATTTTGTCGCACACTGTCGCACGTGCGATTCCGATACGCCTCGCATTCCATCCAAATCATGATTCTTGTCACCAACACGAGCGCAAGCCCACGAATACGCCTCCGCACCAACCCTGGCTAAGTTGTCTCACCCATTGTCGTGTGAGCAACTAGTACATCTAAGATTTCTCATCTTGGGTTGCATTGCTTAGCCCAGACGCATCTCATCACAGCGATGGTGGATTTTGGTGTTGGCAGGCAGACTGGTAGGTATCAACGAGACCTGCGTTGCGATCCAACTCGTATGAGCCTGCACCTGAGCTGAAGAGGCCATCTTTCTCCCATTACTAATGATACGATGAACAACGCATCTCTGAATAATACAGCTGAAAATAATCGTACAATGATACCCGATGACTCACTCTGGCACCGTTCGGAGGAGTGGTCAGGATGGTTGGTCTATCGCCGCGCTGCTAGAATTCCGGAATGTGCTTCCCTCCCATATTCCCCTGAGATCTTCAGCTCCCTCGTGATCCAGTCCCCTGGTGATACCTGCGAGTATCGGCCTGACTGTCGCCCAGTCCGTGATGCCCAATGCTTCATTTACAATCGATAACTTGTCCTCGAACACTCTCTTCCACTTGGCCAGCTGCATAGCCTCGACCACGTCCGAAGCTCTGCTTGAATCAGCGACCGCCGCGCCAAATAGGACGTACCATAGCCACAATGGGCCGGTGATGGGGCTCGCCCCTATCCGCTGCTCACACGTTGTGATGTCGTCAATGAGCTGTTCCAGAAGCCAGTCCACCAGCGCGGTATCCATCTCTCCAGCCCCGACCTCGGAGACAAGATAGAAGAATGTTGCTATGAAGCAAGTGCGACTGCTTTGTGGATCGCCATTCAAGATTCTTGGCTTGTATGTGTCTGGGTTGAAACCTCGCGACAACTCATAGTTGAGGTTCAAGTGCTTCGTATGGTTTTGCCATACGGAAGCAGCCTCCCACCAACCGTACTTTGGTGCTTCAGTTGGTGGAAGGGCGGTGATGTCCCATATCGATGTGAAGATTAGTGCAAGAAATGTTGGCTGATACTCTGATACAGGGACTACGTGGGGGACAGAGGCCATCTGTCGAAGACTCTCGCTCATCCTGCTCTACCAGTTAGCTCTATCTGATGCTTTACTTTCCCGCCATCAGGTAAACTTGCGTCTTTAGCATTTTTTGTGGGAGCGACGGGCCAGATGGTCTGCTCTGCATCGCAGTTCTAAAGCCCATTAGGTGTTTGGTCGAAGTCTCCAAATCACCGATAGCCGCCTTGTGTTTCGAGCAAGGTCAGCGTCTGTCTTCGGTCCAGAGTTTGACGTTTTGTGCAAAGGGTTCCATACCTCTGTTAAAGCGAGAGTCGATATCGCCAGATTCGTCTCTCTTGTCCTAGCCGTGTCTGCACTCAGGAGTTGTTCTCTCACAAAACGATACGTTGCCGATTTGTGATGAAGGAAGGGCAATGTGACTTCATCCAGACTGCCCCTCACCCAAGCCCACTGGCAAGCAGCCAGAACGAGACACATATGCATATAACCCGGATTTTCAAAAGCTTTGCTGATCCTATGCGATTGTCAGCGCATGTGGGCCTCGTGTTAAGCAGCTACTCGCATTAGTCTTCCTACTCACACACTCAGTTCGTTTTCCCTGACTACAGGGCGCTGTCCTCTGACGGAGAATACGGCATCTGGTTTCAGTTCAGGTTAGTCAAGGGCGGTATTTGCGAGGTACTTGATGATGGGTCCACGTACAGTGACGCAACAATACTTTGGACGCTTCAGGTAACACATCGAAAGAGCCTCCGACGTAGCTATTGAGCGGCCGATTTGACACCAAGCTCCCAATATCAAACCCATTATCAACTTCATACTTGACCACCTCTTCGTTGACACAGGGAGTCAACTCTCTGGATGGGTAGATACAGTCACTACCTGAGTGGAGACAGCTTGTGCTGGTTGCAGGTTAGAACATTGCCCATAGTATAACCAGACATAATTAACGCATGATGGGGGAATATAAGGCTCATCATCATCATCATATGTCTAATCTTCTGAAAGAAAGGTGCATATATACCACAATGGTCTGCGCTCATCGCACCGAACGTGTCTTTTTTTGCATGTTTGACATCCGTTCTTGCTCCGGCGGTGGAACTTTCTCTTTCGATCTTTTGGGGGAGCCATCGGCCATTCCCTGTTCAGAAAACCCCATACTCTTCACCGCTCTCAAAGACCCGGGATCGGTTTCCAGCAGTTGCGGCGTTGGCTGGAAGGAGGAAGGGACTGGAAAGAGGGAAGAAGGAAAAGAAGATCTCGGGTTGCTTGGCTACTAAGAGGCTCCTGATCGATCACAGGCCGTCAGCCGCATCGACCAACCAGTGGGATTTGCTATACGAATCGTGCATATCAAGCAGCCAATCAGGGGAAAGATCGGAAGAACCTCCGCATGTACCTTCCGCTTAGTTCGACATCACTTGTGGCGTTGTCCCAAATGAGCCAAGCGCACAAGCCACAGTTTCGTCCAGGAAATACCGACCGGCAGTGCGTCCTATTTTTGGACTGAGAGGAATTGCCGGCACATAAGCTTAGGTCGTCCATGGAATCTAATATGCTTCAAGGATATTATATATCTGGAAATTGCCCTTGGGATTAGGAACCTAGAAGTAGCACTCTCTGCTCCGAAGCTGCAAGGGTGCTTGTTGCGGGGTAGCCTTGCGGATTGAGTGTTGAATCAAGGGGAACAGTGCTCCCGGGACCTGAGCAATTCAGATCTTGGAGACCCCCCTCATGAGCCAATTGTTCGATAGGCTCTCTGTCCCTTGTTTTCATGAGACTGGGGAGTATGTCCAGCTCGAGTCGGGTACAGCTCGGCTCTGCATATTGGCGAGGATGCGAACATCCTCGGGTTACATGTCTTTTATGCAGGGAAGGCGGATACGTCAACATACGCTGAGATAAGACTTGATCGGGAGGCATTATTTCTCTCCTAGGCGAGAAGCCTTGGATTTCAAGTACGATATATTCTGCATGGGAGATGGTTTGAGTTCGTGGGTATCCAACGAGTTGGGATCAAGGCGTCCACGATCGCAGTCGTCGCTTTAGCTCTTCGTCGTTTGATGGAGACTTGGTAACCCTACGGTGGGTGTTCAGTGTGTCTCGGGAGTTTACCATGTATGATTTTCCGGTGGGATTACTGACTGACACCATTGCGCGGGAACAGTGACCTTCTCCCAGCATTAACTTTATCCTCATTCCTAGCAGACACAAAATGATGCTTGATTTGGCTGAAGCGAGCAATATTCTATGCTCACTTCTTCAAATATCCTAGGCCCATACGCATAGGTCCAATGCATTCATTCCGGTAGTTCGAGCACAGCACGATAAATCGAGTATGTAGGGTATCTGAAAGATCCAGGTACGTACCTTGCAACCATGGTCGAACACCTCTTAAGCTCTTGAGCCAAAAGCTGTTTTTGGGGTGGGCGTCCGAGCGTTGATTTTCTCTAGCTTCAGATAACACTCTAGGCAGGTAGGCGTGTCATGTGGGTACCTTCTAACTACAGTAGATTCAGCGAGTTTGTCACAGTTGTGTTTGAGAGCAAACAGAGGTACTGACAGGTCATGTACCTGATGCACGGGGCATTCCCCCTTTCCGTTCCTTTTCTTTTGCCTCCAATGTTAATTATTGGATGTTTTCGTGACGACGGCTGAAACGAAATCAATATTAATGCCTTTTTATTTCTCTCCTTCGGTGTCTTCCGTTTCCACTGGAAAGTGCTAGCTAGCGCTGCTTGTTGTCACAAACATGGGTTTAAACTGGGCAATTCTTATTTTGTTGGCTTGTCTCAGGGCTGGAGATGGATCAGGGACTTTACTCACCCACCCCCCATGTAATTTTTCATGGGTCGGGCATCCCGCCTCGGAATACGTCATTCTCATTAGAGAGATGGCGCTTCATCGGGTCTCGATGGGGTCGGTTTCACAGAATGCACGGACGAATCCAGCAAGCCAGGTAGCCAAGCGGGACAGCATCAAGTTAACATATCCGCACGCGCGAATAAGGCAGACACCCACCAATTGGTCCATTATCGTTCACTGCCGGTTTACGTCGGGTGGATCGTCTGGTGTGCAGACAGACTTGTCACCTATAGACTGCCGGCTATTGCCATGCCGTGGCTGTCCTTGCGAAGGACCCTTTGTACATGTCATCAGGCGTGGGTGAATCGGGTGAGATGTGATGAAACGTTAAAAGCAAAAATAGGAGGTCCATGCCATGCCATGCGCTCGGTTGTACGCCCGTTGCGCGTCACTCATTTCGTTCGTTCCTGGTGGGTGTCGGTGCTGGAGAATGTGTGGGTGGTGATGGGGGCAGCTTCCGCGCCCAGCAAGTACCCAGACTGCCTGCTGGGCAATTACTTGCACAACACATACCTGGCTACCTGTCCTTCCATGCGCATGCACGTAGCATGATAGGCGTTGGGAAGGACACGACCCCGAACGAGGACGCTGCCTGGCTTTGGCAACAGGTCAGGAGTCAAGACAGGCATGCAAGTGCTCTTCCTCGCAGTGCTGATGATCCACAGGAGCGGCGACACGTGCGGCTCTACAACGTACTACATCGTCACGCACCTATCGCAGGGCGCTCGCGAAGGTTCCTCGACGTCGCACAGACACGACCAGGGGGGACCCATTGGAAGCTTTTTTTCTCTGCCATCCCATCCCTGGGTGGCGTCTGCCAGCTGGCTCTTCGGGTGCTTGTTGAGCGAAAAGCGTGACCAGAGCACGAATGAATGGGCACCAGCTGCCCGATTCGACGCACCATCGGCCAAGTCTGGGTTCTGTTCCCCTCACCCTAGAAGTTTTTGCTCCTGACGATGATGACAGGTGGGATGGAGATGGGATGGGGACGGATGGGGCCCGTCTCGTCCCAAAACGAAGCCAAGCCAAAAGCAAAACCAAAAGCAAACCAAACCACTCGACCCGACACGACAGTCGTGGTGGGCTGGGCTCGCGATCCATTCGCCTGCTTTCCGTTTCGGTCGGGTCACAGCATCCAGCACACGCCTCTGGGGAGTCCATGTCCACGTCCGTGGGCGGCTTTGTCATGCAAGGCGAGGCGTGAGCTGAATGACACAGCGCTGGGCTCAGGCTCTGCTGCCTGGCGCCTGACTCAATTTCCTTGGTGCCCGACCTGGTTCCAATGGATCACTCCCCTCCCCAATGCTACGGTTGACCGCTCCCCGTTGTTCAGGGTTCTTCCTTGTTATTCTCGTCGCCCCATCTCTACCTAATCCCATCATCTATCTTTGGGCAACAATGCCTCGCGTCCAATCAAACTCCCGTAGCCCGCCCTGTTCAACCATCCTCGAGTCCCTCCCAGGATGTCCATCTGGGGTAGCCCCAGCTCACGATGTGCAACATCATCTGCCAACCGATTCCTGTTAATCTTGCCAGCATCAGCCTTCCCAATGCTCACTTGTCCTTGAGCCCTGTGTTCGCCACTCTCGCCCGCCATCCATCCACCCAGGCCGCAAGATCGCCCTGCCCAGTCTTTTCGTTTGACAGAGCTAGCCGCAGCAGGCACCAGGGCACGGGGCTGAATGACCATTGCCATCTCATCAATCGCTCACATTCACATATTGTCGCGCATTGTGCCCATTCTCCACTGCCTCGGTTATGTGGAAACAGCACTGAACACCATCCATCTGACTGCAAATCTTGCCGCGAATCGCCCTCCCGCTTCCTGGCTGGTCCCTGTATCGCGCAACAGTCTTAGCACAACGGGGCATTGTCGCTCCCGTTCTCAGACTTGCCGCCAAGGCGGTCCTGTTCTCTTAGCTCCCTCCGAAAAAGACATAATAGAGCTCTTGACTCCGGAGCTGACGATCCCCTTACTTTCCCCTTTGCTCATCAACCCACCTAAATCCCCTAGGCTGGCTTGTCTCCAATGCATTGAGCATTTGCGCACTATCCCTTGTGCCTGCCTCTACATCCCACTTGCATGAAGAGTTTATAACGCAGCCGTTGTATGCTGCTGGGGACGGGTCAGCCAGTCACCGGATCTCACCGCCTTGTCCTTACCTTTTCTTCCGAGCTCCTTGGAATATCAACTGCCCAGGAAATCCCGGTTACCGTTTGGAGCCTTTTCTAGATCTTGTATCTCACATTCAACAACCTTGGATAAAAATACTTCCCCGGATATATGTCAGGGTGTCCATCGGATTGATTAATTTTTGGAATCTCACCTGGACACTTGTCAACAACAGCTCTCTTAACCTACTCAGGCCTTTGGTCCTTAGCCTCCCCCTTGCCCCCTAGTTTTATTTACGAGATAGCTTTCTATTTTTCTTCCATTCTGTCTTGTCTTTTGTTCTATAGTCGCCCCCTGTTAGTGGCCAGTGGACAGTGGACATGTCGCAATCGGACTTTGTATGCAGAGCTCCCGCTGTCTCGGGCGGCCCCTGGAGCTCGAACCGGAGGTATGGACAAACCGTCCTGCCAAAACGCTCAACATCATACTGACGAGTCTGTAGTTCCTTCATTGAACCTTTCAAGGGTAGCTATGAAAATGGCTTCTACTCCGTTTCAAGGTAAGAGCCAGCGATGTATCCCACCTCCCGACCTGGACATTAGTAACATGTGTATTCCCAAAGCGCAAACTACATAGGCAATGGGTATGCTTCTGGTCATGGTGGTCCTGTGAGCCACCGAGGGAGCATTTCACGACCCGATTCTGCCTTCCCATCTGGCGGATCCTTCAACAGCCGCCCACAATCAGCCGCCTTCACCGGTGCAACAATGGGATCATACAATGGCACAGCATCTTCCCAGCCTTGGGACATGCCGGGGCGGTACTCCCCCACCGATTCCGTCGACGATATCATTGCATCACCAAACCTATCAGATTACTCCGTCGAGAATGGCATGAAGCCGGCCAGCCACGGCGGCAAGGCAAAGGCCAATAGCAAGAACAGGCCCCAACGACGACCCTCGAATCGGGATGAGTTTGACGGCCCACATCAGTTCTTGCAACGACCACCGCCTAGCGTGATTGCCATGCAGGAACGAGAGTTACCTCACTTGCCGACCAATCTTCACATCCAGGAGCAAGACAACGTCCTCAGCCAAGTCAACGATAGATTGTCCCAGTGTGCTTTCGATTTCGTCGCCAAGTATCAGTTTCCTATTCCCTTGACCCAGGACATGCGCCCCGTCGAGCGGCCGCAAGACCGAGAATGGACCGAATGGGTCTATCTCCTTAAGCGTCTTGCCACCAAGCGACGAATCCCCGCACGAGTTCTATACAATGGACAGATCAAGCAGTTTGTGACTATTCTCGAGAACTCTCTGGAGATGAGACACGCTGCCAAACATCAGAGTCGTCCTCTCAAAGACGACCGCAACATCCTTCAGCTCATCTCGGCTGGCATTCAAGTCGCCAAGATCCTGAAGGATGCCTCGGCCATGGATTACCTTGACCAATTATACGTTTCCACCGAAAAGCAGATTCGGGAGCGGACCGCGTCTCGCTTCCGACACTAATCTGGCTCTTCACCCAGTCTCCTAATCAAGAGACAACCCCACGTTTTTGGATGCTCGCCATCCTCCTCGTCGCGTGAGCGATGCTACACAGAGAAACAGATTACTTAGTGGCTCTGGACCCCAGACCTCTTAATGAGAAATGATGATGATATTTTCCTCTCCTCGGTTCGCCCCTTGTTTGCTTTAACCATATATTCACCGAGATTGAAATTGCGATTTTCTTACTCTTTTCTATAATTCTGTTTCCAGTTGGCTTTTGATTATATTGGGTTTGTGATACCTTGAGGATTTTTCGAGCGGGCAAAGCAGCTCCATGTCAACACACGATCGCTGCGGAATATTCTCAGGGCAGAGAGAGCACTCGTGGATGTTATGTATGCGGTTATGTTTTTATCTTGTTTCCTTTTTGCCTTTTCATTGTATCAAACGTACGATTTTCAAATTCTTAGCGAGTCGTTTCATCCATTTTCAGCGGAGAGTTGGTGTTCAAATCGGTGGCCGTTCCAGCTTGCTTGTAGTCGAAGAACTACAGAAACGAACCCCCAACTTCACCTTCAGGGAAGGCAATAATGAATGGGTTTCAAATTCGCTGGGAGCACTTTCGCCACAAGCGCCTTTGGAGGAGGATACATATGATAGATGAATGACACGAGTCGCTATTGTCCGATATATTTACTTTTATCACTTACACATACAATCCGGATGCTGAAATGGGCAGAAAGAGGAGGCTCACTGCCGGGTTTCTAGAGGTTTCTAGAGGAGGGAGACGCTCGTTGGCGGTGATGGGATCTGCCACATCGTCACAAGGCGTGTTTACTTGGGAAATGAGCTCATCGCTGGCATCAATGCAAAGAGCAGAGGCGTAGCTTAGTTTACAGTCAACAAATAAAGC